ATTATGCAACAAGAGTGGCTGAAGACCTTGTTACTCTAAGGGAAATAGCCGTTGTTATGCCATAGCTGTTCTGCGAAAGCAATTCACGCTGTGTTGATATTTTGCTGGCCAACTCCAGAGATAATAGATGATTTATTAGCACTTTTCTTCCAGGCCTCTGGCTCTGAACGAGGCGCATTTAGTTTACAAAAAACTGCAAATCTCACAAACTGTCAGTCATACAAAAATGACATTTTTGTTCCAATTTAGCAGCTTTATCAAATACTGTTTTGTGTGTGCGTGTGTGTGTGCTAGAATAATGAGAATTAGCACATTATTGTGAAATAGTTGGGAAATTATACATGCTTTTCTTTTTATTTATCAGAAAGAAACATTTTAGGAAGTGGAACAGTGCCTTTTACTCCACTACCCCTAAATAAAATCCAGTATATCCACCTATCTTTGTTATACACCCCCTCATTAGCTCACCTGAACACTTTTAATTTATTACGAATCCAGAGGTTCTGTGCGGCTTTCAGAAGTTTGTTAGAGAAAATCAGAGAACAAACAGGTTCATGAAGACCAAGGAACCCAGCAGAAAGGTCAGAGAGAACGATGAAGGTTAAGTTACAGAACAATATCCTGAGCTTTCAGCGTCTCATTGCTCGGTGGTGGTGGAATCATGCTGTGGGAAACAACTTCATCTTCTTCCAGTGTGCATGAAGAGGGGACAGAGATCTGCTAGTCCAGGTTTACAGTTCAGTCCCTCTCAGGTGGCTCAGTATTGATGCTCAACTTGACTCAACACCCCAGAAATCTGTCTCTAGACCTGCAGAAAGAGAGAAAACAAAACCAAGAAACCAACAATAAACAGCATAGAATCAATAAAAACATCACTGAAAAATACATAAACCAAGTTAGATGTGTTTAGTGGTCACATCAGCTTGTGAAGCATATTTAAACTATTCCAATGAAAACGCAGCTTGGGAATCTGAGATAACTTGATGAAATGCTGCTGACTGATGTCTGGAAAGCTGCCAATCCAGGAATGTTACGTATTTCTTTTGGTTCTGATTGAAAAGCCAATATAAGAAAGACTGTAGATGTTAGCTTCTGCGCTAGTTATAAGACATTTCCATTGTTCTTATTAATGCATATTAAGGTACTTTTGGTATTTGAAGCATTAAAAGAGACAGTTTTTCATTTTTAGAGGAGGTCTCGAGTATTAAAGGATTGTAGCTTTAGTAATTTCCATCTGTTTCATGGCAAACTGATTTTTGTAATGAAGGCCATCAGCTGAAACTCGTTGGTTTCTCAGTACTTAAGGTGTTTCAGAGTGGTCCAGTCAAAGGCCACACTCCAGTTGGGAATCTTTTGCATCTGTAGATATGGAGACTCACAGCTGTAATTTTAAAGAAAAAGGTGGTTTTACAAAATGTTCATTCAGGAAACTGGAGGTAAAACTATTTTAGTTACGTAAAAATTTGCATCATTTTCCTTTGACTTAACGATGCTCTGCTGTCTGACATGAAATCCCAATAAAATCCATCATATTTTCGGGTGTAAAGGGGCAAAACAGCTCAAAAGGTTTTGCTCCAGTCATAGTTTTGTTGTTTTGCATTTGTCTTGGCCACATACTGAGCTCTGTTCTTAGCAGCAACTTCTTAACATCAAAACTTCAATTAGCAAGAGCCAATTTCCTGCAATATAGGAAAAGGGAAAAAAAACAGTCCCCAGGGCTCCACTTCAGAACTTTATTAAAGCGCTGCGCAACACTCCTTAATTTGACTTTTTCTTATGCGCTTTCCAACCTTTAGGTCATTGGAGGATAGAATCCGCCCTCAGCTAGATTTGTTCTTTACAGCTGTGGAACAATGAGTAATTGAAAACCTGCAACGTGCAATCCCACAACCAAAGCCAGAGCTGGCAGTCGGTAAAAAATGCTGGCGTTAAACGTTTGAATCCCAGAAAGAGGACGGATAAATGGTCCTTGAGAATTCAGCGTAATCTCTGTAAATCCCAGATGGATCTCTTCCGCTGCCGGGATCTCAGTCTTCGCCTGTAAATATGCTCCGCTGCATAAACCGTGAATGGTCATTCAGCAGTTTGAAGGGCATGGTAATGAAGGCCAATGGAAAATCTATTTTAGGCAGATTCAAGGCCGAGGGATGATTAATTAAGAGAGTAGGGAAACGTGATAAATTTTGTCTTTAAGGGGACCCAGTGGAAAGATTCCTGCATGTTAGACGTGCTCAGCATCAGTTAGCAGAAAACAGCTGCTGTGTGAAACCTGCGCCGACTCCAGCGGCTCCCAAACCTTGGATCTCATGTTTCCGCTGTTCCTCCTGTCATATTCCTGTAACCAGGACGCTATTATGGGAAGCAATCGATGAACGCTCACATGTGAGGACCCATTTTCCACTGGAACAAATAAATAAAACAGGGCAGCGCATCCAGCCTGTTGCATGTAGCCTCGTTTTTGATGGATAGCTTGAATTTTATGAAAAAAACATCACAGAACTCAGCAAGAGATCTGACGTCTGAAAGTAAAACTAATGAAACTAATATGGCAACTGAAGATCCTAATTATTAAACTTATGTTTCTGATCTAGAGTGGGATCTTTCTGGAAATCAAAAATGTGTGTCTGGGTTCATATTGCCTTATTTTCCAGCCCATATCAACATATTAATGATGTATTTGATTGAAATCTATTTCAGCAGTCAACCAGTGATGGCTGGGAAGCGCTCCAGCATCCGGCCCACACTGTTGTTGTTTCTCAAACAAAGATGAAGCCAAAATGGAAAAGCTGCGAGAGAGAAACTAAACACAGCATCATCAGTCTCTCACAACATGGTTGCGTCAGCTCACCGAGGTTCCTGCTCAGCTCGGCTTGGCCTCAACCACAGCATTAAGAGTTAATGGTTGACTTTCTGACTGCAAGCTGCCGAAGTCCTGAGTCTGCACAAGTCTGGATAATCAACTGTCGCCCTCTGTGCTTCTTGTTTCCCAGACATTGTGCTGATGGGCTGTGCTTGTTTTTCTCCTGACAGCTCGTTGTGGCCAAACATCTCTACTTTCACCCAGAAGTCAAACTTAAGTCAAGCTGCCATATTTATTTCAGAGAGGAGTTTTCTCCTGCTTACCCTTCCTAATGGGTTTTGTCATTAAATTGAAATGTAGCTGCAGCCTGTAGAGGCTGATAGATTTCTGGATTTTTTGCAATTTCTGAAAACATTCCACAGTCCGATCTTGGAGCGAACCTGTGTTTTCACTCACAGATCATGATTAGCTTTAAAGGCCACTGCTAATGGCGTTGTGTTTACACTCCATGTGTACAAAAACAGAAAACTTTTAAAATGTTTTCTTTTAGTAAAATGATTTGTCAGACATTTCACCTCACATTTAGCTTTAATTGGGCGTTAGCAGGAGAAATGGCTCGTCGTCTTTTGCCACGAAACAAAAATCCTACAAGCAATAAAATCTGACACTTCATTTTCGCTTAAGGAAGTTCCTTCAGTGGTTCTTGGTGCAGCGCCTCTGCAGGCCAGGAGGGGAATAGGTTTTTCTAAGGGAAGATTTTTGGTTGGTTTAACTCAGAGCAGAGAGAAAGAGAAATGGAGCAAATGTTGCAGCTTTGGTTCCCAATAGAACAACGTCTATCAGATTATCAGGTGTGAAAACACCCTGAAAGCCTGACTGTTTGGTTAATTGGTCTCTCTGAACTGTCCTCGGGTGTGAGTGTGAATGCCTGCCTGTCTTGTGTCTCTGAGTGTCTCTGTGATGGACTGCAGGCCTGTCCGGGGTGTCCCTCGCCTCCTGCCAAATGACTGCAAGCGATAAGCGTCAGCCCCCCAGAGAACCTGCAAGTACAAGCAGGTGTAGATAATGGCTGGATGAATAGTTTCGAAATCACTGGCGACTGGCAGAAATTGCTTCTCTTAAGTCCTTGCTGATGTATCTACATTTGGTGTTGTGTGAACACAGAGCTGTGCCACAACTACCACCTCTAGTCAGTTTTTTCACACCTATGGAGGATTATTTATAATCTAGATTAACTTTCCTTTTAATAACTCGCTGTTTCACAAGGTGGTTTTCATATTCTGATATGTGAAACTGAACAGGAAGAGGCCGTATTTTGGTTTTAACAAGATCATTTTACTGAATATGAATCTATTCCAAAGAGACGTTTATAAATCTGCTGACTTTAAAATGATTGGCTCTTCCAACAAAAGGCATAACAATGTCTTTAATGCTTTCTGTGGAGGCAGAATGGACTCCTCTGAGCTTTACATTGTGAAAAGAAATTCACATCCTCTTGTTACGTAGGAAACGGTTAGAAATCTTAGAGCAATTAGCAAGTTCTGTGTTTCCAAAAGAGAACTGCATAATATTTTCTACAATTGCTTATCAGCTTTAGTATGTGACTAGTTTAGCTACAAATTGGAGCAAACTGAACACGAAGGCTCCTCTTTGACTCTGCAAGCTCATTTCTTGTGTCCCCTCTAAACACAAATCTCTCTCAGTGTGATTGTTTGAAATGTGGCTGATGTAAGTTTGTACTTTCCGGAGCATATCATCTGGCAGAGGCATGAGAAACCTAAATACATGCTGTCAAACAGAAATCTTCTTTCTCATAAAATGTCTTCTTGAATAGCCTCTACGTCTGCGAGAAAACACGGAGCATTTCTCTGGCTTCTTCTCCTCAGAAATATTTTTATCTTTTTGCCCACTGGATGTTAACGTGATCAGATGTTATTCAGAAGTTCTGCTCATGCATATGCTAAATAATATTGTGCATGAAATTTTGCTCTCGGTTTATAAATGCGAGGGTCACATATTTTTTGTCTAGACAGCAGCATTCAAAGACTCTGTGGTTCAGACATTCGCTTCCAGTTAGTTTACAAACGCTCGTCGCCTGCATGGCAATGAATGTTAATTTGAGGTTATTAATGATTTATTTGAAGAGTTGTTTTTTTCTGAGTGGATTAATCAGCAAGCTTTAGGGATTTAGCAAGGAATGGTTGCAGGAATGGATTTCCATTCATGTGGTCAAACCAGTATGTTCAGGCTCAAATATGTGCAGACCAGAGCTGTGCGGTCAGGGGAGGCAGGTGAGCCAGAGCCCCACCTGACATCATGGAAAAATAATATACAATGATAAAATAATTTATATTGCTATTTTCACCATGCGGTTTGTATTGTAATGCATTTTACCATTCAAATGCTCAGAGGACAAGTTTATGAGCAACCCAGAAACTACTGCAGCTCAAGCCTACCATGAATATTAATGTGTTGGGAAACCAGCATTGTCCACAGTGAAGCAGATTTCAATAGACTAAACGAATGAGTGGCAACCAACAAAAATGCTCTAAAAGCAAGTCTTTTAGGTTCGACTGAAATTGTTTTATCAGCAAACGAAACCTCCTGGTCCTTGCAGGATCCAGCAGGAGCTGGTGTCATTTCCAGCGGCCTTTGGTGAATGACATAAATATTTACTATAGTGAAGGTGAGGCATTTGTCAGGCCATAGAAGAGCAGTAACAGTTGTCATTCATGGTGGTGGTAGCAGCAGGCTGTGGGGCTTTTAGCAGTGCTTTTGGTACGTTGCACAAAATGGATGCATCTGTTGAAAATAAAACTTGCTGGGAGACTTTTACCCAAACACCATCGGGAGTGTATGCACATATTTCAGTCCACATGTATCGTTGTGACAACATCTGTTCTTTTTTCAAATCATTAAAAGCCCAACATAAAAATGAGATTTCTACATTACTGAAGAGAATGGAGTAAAACTAAAATGAAATATTCGCTTTATGAATGGCAGGTCAGGTTTCCTGATCCTTTAATGTGTTTTGTCTGGTTTACAAAATTAAAAAGTAGCAGAAACAGATTTTTTTCACCCAAACGTTACAGTTTACAGGATGCTTTCATGTCATACTTCACCTGCATCAAGACTGATGAAATTCTTTGAGCTGGCAGGATTTCAAACCGATCGGCATCCTTCAAGCGACACAAAGAGAGTGGCTTTAAATTGTGTGATCTGTCCTTACGCCTCTTTTTCAAACATTTAACCGTGTCCTTGGTTGGTCGTAAAGCTGAAAGCACAGACAGAGAACCTTTAAAGTGACTCCAGCACCTGAAAGTAGAAGTATTTTTCCATTTTCATATGCAAAGCTTAAGTAAAAACACGTTAGCACACAACTCATTACATTTATGCTCATTTACTTTGACTCCAGCTCACTTCCTGCTGCATATTAAACCACAGGAGCTCAGGATATTCATGCATTTTCAGTGGCCTGATTGAGAGTCTGACCTCGATAATGTGACACGGTGCCAGCAACACAAAAGAAACAGATGAAAAATATGCTGGGTCCATTGGAGATTTCATTTTCAAGCACAATACAAAAGCTATTCCTTTTTCACTAGTTTCTCTGTTTCTCTGTACCACCCACAGGGCCCAACTGCTATGCGGACACAGAGGTGATACCAGCTGGGCGAGAGGTGAAGATTGATGACTGCACAATCTGCTACTGCACGTATGAGGAGGGCACGTGGCAGATCGAGCGGCAGGCCACCTGCAGTAAAAACGAGTGCTAACAAAGCTAAAGACTGGCACAGGTGAGGAGCGGCGGAGGAGGCAACAGCCTCACCGAAACACATGCACACTCTCGGACTTTCACCCAGTCCACTGATGATCAGGGTCGGACAGCGGCGCTCCAACAATTCAGCATTTATACAGCAGCCAATCACCAACGACTGAAAATGCTTTTATGAAAGTTTCTAATCTTCACACAGATTATCTATTTATCTATGTATTAATTTATTTCTGAATATATTCAAAATATAAGGTCATGCTGAACTAGTAAAAAGATATTTTTTATAGTTTCTGTATTTTAATAAGCAATGTACTGGACCAGAGGTCAACAACAACAAAAGAATGTACAGAACACACTCTCACACACACAGCTGTCTCTGGAGGTGAAAAACCTCAATGTCTGAACATGTGGTGTCGTCACGACCTGACCTAACACCAGTCTGACCCAACACCAGTCTGGTTTTCATAACTGCGCCTGACCCAATCTGTCAGGTCCTGAAACTGGTCCATACACAAACGCTATTCCTGAAACCAGTTCAGACCTTTCCCAAAACCTGCCCAACATCCATTCCAACACCAGCCCTAACCAGTCCCAACACCAGACCCAATACCAGTCCCAACACCAGACCCAATACCAGTCCAAACACCAGACCCAATACCAGTCCAAACACCAGACCCAATACCAGTCCCAACACCTGACCCAATACCAGTCCAAACACCAGACCCAATACCAGTCCAAACACCAGACCCAATACCAGTCCAAATACCAGACCCAATACCAGTCCAAACACCAGACCCAATACCAGTCCCAACACCAGACCCAATACCAGTCCCAACACCAGACCCAATACCAGTCCCAACACCAGACCCAATACCAGTCCAAACACCAGACCCAATACCAGTCCAAACACCAGACCCAATACCAGTCCCAACACCTGACCCAATACCAGTCCAAACACCAGACCCAATACCAGTCCAAACACCAGACCCAATACCAGTCCAAATACCAGACCCAATACCAGTCCCAATACCAGTCCAAACACCAGACCCAATACCAGTCCAAACACCAGACCCAATACCAGTCCCAATACCAGTCCAAACACCAGACCCAATACCAGTCCAAACACCAGACCCAATACCAGTCCCAACACCAGACCCAATACCAGTCCAAACACCAGACCCAATACCAGTCCAAATACCAGACCCAATACCAGTCCCAACACCAGACCCAATACCAGTCCAAACACCAGACCCAATACCAGTCCCAACACCTGACCCAATACCAGTCCAAACACCAGACCCAATACCAGTCCAAACACCAGACCCAATACCAGTCCAAATACCAGACCCAATACCAGTCCAAACACCTGACCCAATACCAGTCCAACACCAGACCCAATACCAGTCCCAACACCAGACCCAATACCAGTCCCAACACCTGACCCAATACCAGTCCCAACACCAGACCCAATACCAGTCCAAACACCAGACCCAATACCAGTCCAAATACCAGACCCAATACCAGTCCAAACACCAGACCCAATACCAGTCCAAACACCTGACCCAATACCAGTCCAAATACCAGACCCAATACCAGTCCCAACACCTGACCCAATACCTGTCCAAACACCAGACCCAATACCAGTCCAAACACCTGACCCAATACCAGTCCAACACCAGACCCAATACCAGTCCAAACACCTGACCCAATACCAGTCCAAACACCTGACCCAATACCAGTCCAGCACCAGACCCAATACCAGTCCAAATACCAGACCCAATACCAGTCCAAATACCAGACCCAATACCAGTCCAACACCAGACCCAATACCAGTCCAAATACCAGACCCAATACCAGTCCAAATACCAGACCCAATACCAGTCCAAACACCAGACCCAATACCAGTCCAACACCAGACCCAATACCAGTCCAACACCAGACCCAATACCAGTCCAAACACCAGACCCAATACCAGTCCAAACACCAGACCCAATACCAGTCCCAACACCAGACCCAATACCAGTCCAAACACCAGACCCAATACCAGTCCAAACACCAGACCCAATACCAGTCCCAACACCAGACCCAATACCAGTCCAACACCAGACCCAATACCAGTCCCAACACCAGACCCAATACCAGTCCAACACCAGACCTAATACCAGTCCAAACACCAGACCCAATACCAGTCCAACACCAGACCTAATACCAGTCCAAACACCAGACCCAATACCAGTAACAATGCCTGGAACCCAATACCAGACCCAATACCAGTAACAATGCCTGGAACCCATCCAACACCTCTCTTGACACCTAAGCTCATGGCCCAGTCTGACCAGTTCCAACAGAGGCCACTGCACCAGTCCAACTCCACTCCTGACACCAGTCTTGACACATGGCCAGTTCTGACCCGTCCCAGCAGAACTCCCTCCTTTCAGTCTTGACGCCACTTCAGACGTCGATCCCTCTACCACCAAAGTGCAGGCGAGACCATCTTTCTATAACCAAAGATGGCCAAATGTGTAAGACGACCAGGTTCAAAGTTAATACTGAGGACTGCTAAGGTATTCACACCTGAACTGCCCCACATTTCCCCACCTCAGTGTTTTTACTGGAATTTTAAGTGACAGACTAAAGCAAAGTAATTTATAGGAACTCTGCATTTGTATCCAAGCCCAATTTCCTCCGTGGCCCCTAACTAAATTCACTACCACCAATCTATAGAAGAGTCCACCTGTGTGCATTTCTGTTTTGAAATGGTCTAATTAAAGTCCAGACCTAAATCCAATTAAAAAGCTGTTGAAAGACAAATGCTTTCAGGCCAATTTGCCTAGAAAAGTTATGTCAGAAATTCATTCAGTATGTGTGTAAATGTGTGAGAGAGAAAGCTCAGAGTCGTCTCACCTGTCAGTATTTTGACTCGGGGGGGCTGGCATGCATGTTTCATTTTCCTCCCACTCTGCTATTTTGTGTACTATTTTGTTTTGCTTTCGTGGTCCATCTCAAAAATTCCAGTAAACACATTGAAGTTTGTGACATGAAAAACGTGAAAATCAAAGGTGTGAATACTTTGGCGAAGCGGCGCTGCAGCGAAACGAAACCAGAGGGAAATTCAAAAGGACTCGACTGTTTCTGCTTTTCTTTCATCTTTTCTGGATGTTCAAATGTGCTTTGATTTGAAAGTGCTTTTTTGTATTTCTCTTCGTATTGGTGTTCATGTTTGAAACAAATGCCAATCTGTGCTCTGTAAATGCTCAAATAGTTACTTTTTATAGTCCATGTTGGTGGTGTTTTGTATTGACGGTCTTACAAATGAATAAAAATGTTCCTGCTTTTATTTGAATCACGACTCATTACTGAGATGGACTGATTGAACCTTCTTCTGCCAGATATCCCACAGTTCCTGTTAAACGGGACAAATCCAA